CCCCTCCCCGAAAACCCCCAAATCCCCCCCAAATCGGCCCCCGCCGCCAGCGGAGCGCGGGGTAGCAACAACTCTCCCCGCCGTTTATTCCAGGAAAGCAAAACTGTACAAAATGGCCGGCAGGCCGGCTCAATCCTCCTCCTCCTCCTCCTCCTCGTCCTGGTTGATCTGGAAGTAGCGCAGCTCGTAGCTCTCCTTGCTGTTGGCCACCACGCGCAGCCAGTCGCGCAGGTTGTTCTTCTTCAGGTACTTCTTGGTCAGGTACTTCAGGTACCTGCGGGGAGAAGTCCGGCTCGAAAGCAGTTCTGCACCCCCAGATGGGCGGCGTTTCAGCAGCGGCACCTCTTTGTCCCCCCTCCCAGAGCAACGCAAACCCCTGCACCCGCCGGCTTCCCCCTCCGCCGGCAGCAAGGCAAGTACCGGCAAAGCTTCTGCCGGGAACCACTGCTGCTGGGGGAATCGTGCCCGCAACACCAAGCCCGGGAAATCTTTTCCCCCCACCTCACCCTCCGAGCACAACGCCGTATTTCCACGCTGCCGGTCTGACACACCACAACAAATCTCTGCTCAGACGGTGGCTAACCACTGCATCCAGCTGCTGGGAAGTGCCGGGTGCGGCACCGACACAGACAAAACGAGTCAGGTGAAAGGCAGGTGCTTACAGAGCAGGGCACTGCCCCAATTCCACACACAGTTTTCCTCTTCCCACCGTTTCAGACCTCCAGCCGCCTCACCATGCCACCTCTGCTGCAGCAAAACCCATGTTTATCAAAGTCAGAGAAAGGGCAGGCAGCCATGAGAAGCAGGCAGAGGGCAGCAGCCCAGCAGGATGGGGGTCACAATACAGGAGCGGAAGAGCTCGGCTGCTGATCAACCCCCAAAACTCCGCACTTGGCATCCTTTCGGCTGCACATCCTCCCCCACTGCCCAGCCCACCAGCCTTCCCGGCAGGAATATCGGCCGCGTATTGCTCACAAAGATCATTTGGGAATGGTAGCTGCCACACCGAGCATCATGCAGCATTTAATCAAGAGTCTTGGCACGACTCCTGCACCGAGATATCTCTTCACTACCAGGCCCTCCTGCCAGCCAGGCTCCCATCTGAATGCCAGCGATCCCCTACCGAGGGCTGACTGCTGCCAGCAGCGACCAACCATGGCTCCGGGCGCCAGCAGCAGCCTCAGGATGGCACCCAGCACCGCCGGGACACAGGGCTGCCCCACCACCTCACCTCTTTGAGAACGGGACCTCCGACGTGACTGTGATCTTGCTCTTGCTCCTCTCGATGGTCACCACACCCCCGCCCAAGTTTCCGGCCTTGCCGTTCACCTTGATCCTTTCCTGCAGGAACTGCTCCTGCAAGAGAGGAATGCCACTGTTTAGCCAGGGCCGCCACCTCCTGCCAGACAAGGCCTCCCCAGCTCGCTCACGCCCGGCGTTTCAGCTTTTTACTAGAGCTGGGGAAGACAGAGAAGTGCTGTTATGTCCGGGGAAAAGCAGAGCAAAGGTGCCTTCCGGCAGGCCAGGACCCTGCCAGTGCCTTCCACAGCTAATCCCACCGGCCCATTCCGACCTGCACCTAAGCGAGGTTCTCAACTCTGAATGCACCAGAAGAGTGAGGTAGGGACACGTTTCCTGCCCTCCCAGGGGACAGCCAGCAAAATGACGGCTGGCTTAGCATCCTCCGAGGATGCCTCAGCCACAACCCCGCGCTTCAAACCCGTACCCGAGCGCAGCTTGAACGAAAACAGGTTCAGCAGAATCGCAGCGCTCCCAGCCCTCGCCATTCCTCACTGCGCAATGGAAAACTCACCCCGCGAGGGATGAAGGGTAGCACTGTTTGACAGGTAGGGAAAACGCTCGCGCTTCAACTACAAAGTGTTTCAAACCAAGCCACATCTCGTGGCCTCCAGCACCACCCAGGCTGCCTTTGTCTGCGGGGCATTTCCCAGCGGTGCAGGCTTTTACGCTGCACCGCACCGAGGGGCAGAAAAGGAGCACCAGGGCAACAGGGGCAGCCGGGGCCGTGCTCGCCCACTTGCTGTTGGAAGCAGAGCCAGCAGCTCCCCCTCCGAGAAGGGCCGGGGGCAGCGGGGCCATCCCGCCTGTCCCCGTGGCGGCAGGGAGGCCCCCCACTCACAAAGTTGGCAGCGTCCATGATGCCATCCTCCACGGGGTGGGTGCAGTCCAGGGTGAACTTCAACACCTGCTTCTTTTTTTTGCCACCTTTCGCTGCAGGCTTCTTCTGCAAGTGGGGGGAAAGAGAGAACCGTGAGGGATCGGCCCCGGGGCAGCAGGAGGGGGCCAGGCCGAGCTCCGGGCTGGAGGCAAGGGGACCGGGCCGAGCTGTGGGAGGGGGGGAGAGAGAAGGGGGGAGCGGGCCGGGGGCAGCGGGGAGAGGTAAGGGCTCCCCCCTTCCCCCAGCGGCCCGTCC